TAGATTGCCCAACCTTCCTTCCAAGTAGTGGCTGGTGGGTTTGAACTGCCAGCCTTCTGGTTAGCAGTCAAATGCCTTAGGCACTATGCTACCAGAGCTCCTGGAGTCCTTTTGGGAGGCTGAAATCAAGAATGGAGTTGCTGCAGACTGAAGGCACTGCATTTTCCCTGACCATATCAGGCTAGAAATGGGCCCTTTGTAGAACTTTCAGTTGACAGGTTAGGAAACATTAATACCTTACTTTTTACTAAATGTCACATTCTCAGCACTTCTTTGAAATCATATAACAAGTTTCCCTGAAGCCTTAACCTCCCACAGGTCAGACAGCCTTAGCCCAATCATTTTCTATTGCCTTTTAGGCTTTAAAGACTCTTTTTAAATTACAGGCTCTGCTGCATGGAAACCAACTCTGGAGTCGGGGTACTTTAGGCAGAGGTAACTAGAAACAGGAATCTAAAGCTTAAGAGCAGTTTGGGCTAAGTGTCTTTAAATGGGATTTGGAAAGTGGATGGGAAGGATGGACATCAAAATGTTTCACAGAACTAAAATGACTTTGGCATTTATGGAGCCAGTGGCTAAATGCGAAGGAAACTGGAGCCACCTAGTGTCAGGTTAGGTTTCTGCATTATATTGGGATTAAGGATCAAAATCCATAATCAACTTTTTCTTCACCTCAGTTACATCCAGGAAAGGCTGAGATTCTGAGGACAAAAAGCTTTCGATCTCAAGTGAGATACCCTTATCCTCAATAGTGGGGCAAAGTTAGAGCTATAAGTGACAAGTGATAAACTCTATAACTGCCACAAAAGGCACTATGGAGCAGAGGTATGACCAATAGAGAAATCTGAATGCAAGGAGAGAAGGGGGGTTAGAGTTTGAATTTCATATGCCAGTAGTTATGTTACCTTTCTTTTGTTGTTTTGAGGCTGTAATGTGGCCTTCACCTGCTCTGTCCTCTAAGAGTTACAAATGAAATTGCAGTACACCAAGAATCAACAACACATTCATTTTCATCCTGCCAAGTCCAATGCAGGCCACTTCAGGAAATGTTTCTTTTTGGGGATTTCTAAGCTCCAACTGCTCTCCTGTCAGGCCAGCATCTTTGTTCAATTCCTGCCTATTGTATTTCACTGATACTCTACTTGACATGGCTATGTCTCTGCAGCTACATTTATTTTCCTCTTCCTATTGACCTGATGTCAACTTAAATGTACAAGCACTATGTTAAACTGTGGTGAGACTTTTAAATGCCTAATTTGTTTCTTTGCTACAAAACAGCACTTTTCTTATAGGATTCTCTACTTAATACAACCACAATATGTATCCTGGGGAAAGATTCAGAATCCTTCCTCCTGGCAAACACTTCACAGTCACACACTCACCGTATCTACTTTCTCCTGGCAACTCTGGGTCCAGGTCACAACCTGCTGGCTGGCATGTAGAAGCATCTGACTATTTTAGTTGAGTTCAACAAATATTTATTGAGCACCTTATAAGTGCCACATATTATGGACACAAAGATGCATAAACATCACATGTTCTGGTGGAGCAGACAGTGCGATGGGAAGAGGAAGATTCGTAAACAAACCATTACAATACAACATAATACAGAAATAATACCAAGTAAGTGACATAGAGATAGCTTAAAAGAACTGTTGCCTGAGTGCATTTGTAAGTGAAAAATGAATTTTCCTTCCAGGAAAAGAGGAGCAGGGAATGGAACCTGACACAATAGAAACAGTATGTGCAAAGGCACCAAAGCATAGAGTCCAATTGTAGAAGAATCACAAGAAATTTGCGCTATGGGACAGCCCATGTAAGGCAGGTAATGGCAGTGAAGCTGAGTTGAATTGAAGCTCAATTCCCCATCCTTTCTGTAACCACACCCCAGCCTGGTTGGGAACAGATGAGTGGGTATGATAACTCATTTCCTTAAAGATGTTTTTCAGAAAACCAGGCAAGACCACCTTGAAATTGGTTAAAACCTTCTGCTATGTGTTTTGGCCCATGGATGTGCACAGTAAGACCAACTGAATGAAGTCGCTCAGAAAACATCTCCCCTTCTGCCAATCAGCTGATGACAGGAAGTCAGTGTTAAGTCATCTGGTGTGCAAGCACAGTGCATTAAAAGTCTACTGTCCCTTTAAACTGAGCCAAAGGAAACTTCAGCCAATCTCCAGCCAGTTGAGGCACAATTTCCTGGAATTTATATGAGTATGTATACAACCCTTTCTTGAACCTTACCAAAACTGTACCCCAACCCCCACTCCAGGAGTCAGATTTGGGAACTGGTCAGTCTCCTTACCACGTGCAGGGAATAAATTATCTTTCCCATCTCTCAAGTATTCAGTGTGTGTGAACTGATTCAGCTTGATCATGCACCCACACAGCGACTCACTTTAGTCTGGCTTTAGCAGCTGAGGCTGGAGACATGGCATGGGCTAAATGAGGGGTCTCAGATGACTCATTAAGGGCATGTGGCCTTATTTTAAGAGCTCATAGCTTCCAGAGTTATGTCTTAGAAATATCATCAAAAAGAAATGAAAGAAACTCTGAGGACCTGACCCATAGCAAAGCAATGGAGATGGCTTCCTGCTTTGATGATATCAGGGCTTAGTGGTTTGTTGGATATGAAGACTAAGTAAGAGAGAGCATTGAGGGAGAACACAATTTCTAGGTTTGGACCTTGCTGGAGTGACAAGAAGCATGATGGGCCAGCAGGATGGCAAATAAGGGCAACTGTGAGAATAGGAGGTGAGGACAGGAATGATGAGTTCTGTTCCTTCTTTTCCGTCTCCCCAGGATGTGAAAATGTGCCACACTCTCTAACCCTCAGGATTAAAAACTCAGTGTCGTTTTCCCTCCATTTTAGAAAATCTTTCTTACAAGAACTTTGAAATAGCTTACACCCTTAAGTTTTTTCCATTTCCTCCTCAAAAAAATTAAATCTCCCTATTCTACTTTTCACTCAAGACTCTATAGATAGTAGTTTATAAATATATCAAGGAGGTTCCTTAAAAGCTTTTGGTGGGCACAGGTTGATTAAAATATATTAATTCAATAAATAAGAGTTACTGAACATTTACAATGTACCAGAAATTAATCCTACAGTGTCATTTTTCCACCTAGGAAGTACAGATAAATTTACATATGCTTTTAGTAGAAATATAAATATATATAGTTTTTTATTCATGAGCATAAACTATTTATAAGATTTTCATAAGGTTATTTTTGTCCACAGGTATTAATTTCCTCAATTATGCATCCCTCTATGGTAGGTTTTTAAGAACAAAATATTTATAGTTGGAGAGGGAACAGTGTATACAGTATTTCTGCCACACTCCCATTAGTGGAAATTAGTGGACTAAATTAATACTTACAAGACAGTTGCTCTGGAAAAATTAAAGCTCAGTTCCAAACAAGCAACCATTCCAGAATCCACTCAGTTGATTTTAACAGATATACTTTGAAAACTGCCAAGCCTCAGAGCTCAGAAATTTTATTTCAAATACCAAAGGTGATCGATCCTCACTTAATCTTCCAGAGCTCAATCTCTGGATAGTAGCATAAAACATGAGAGAAAATAAGAAAATAAAAGGAAGACCTGCCCTCTCTCAAAAGAATAAAATATCACAGTCACTAGCAAACAATGCTATCTTGATTCTCATGGATTTAAAAGCAAGTAATTCTCTCTAAAAGCCTTTTCAAAGTGATTTCATAATTGTTTCCCTAAATACTCCTACCCTTCAAGTAACATTCTTGACTGTGACTATTCAAGAATAAATAAGTCCCAGTAACAACAGAAACACCTGACATGTAACTAATCTACAATTTTAGCCACCAACAGCCTAATTATAGGAAACACAGCCCTTCCAGCGATAGCTGTCAACACTCTCTTTAGGACTGGTCTGGCAGCCCCGCAACTCAGCCAGCCAAAAGGGCCTTCTTCCCTAATGCTTTCTCCTCCCTTTCCACTCACTGCCATCGAGTTGGATCCGACTCATGGTGACCTCTCCTTGGGTTTCTGAGGCAGTATCACTACGGAAGTAGATTGCCCAACCTTCCTTCCTAGGAGTGGTTAGTGGGTTTGAACCGCCAGCGTTCTGGTTAGCAGTCAAGTGCCTCAGGCACTATGCTACCAGAGCTCCTTTCTCCTCCCTGTTGTTGTTATGTGTCGTCGAGTTATGTGCCAATTTTCCCCATGGTAGACCAGTTTTCCTCTGGTACAGAGGTTAAGCCCTCCTTTCCCTGGCCCTCTGAGAAGGTATGTTTCCCCTTCCCCCACGATGGCATCACTGAAGTGTCTCTTGTCCTACTTTCTTCTGCATCCCAAATTCCTCTAAAGCTTGAAAAGATCAGGAAAGATCTTTGTCACCCTGATAATCTTCTTCAACAGCATATCTGCAGAGATCAGCTTAGTTCTTGCCACATACTCCCTTATTTGTTCAATTAATGAACATGGATTCTTATTTATCACTTGTTCCATATTCCGTTCATGGGACCAGTTACCACTGCACTCTACCAATCAGGCAGCCTCTTATAGTAGCACAGTCATAACTACATGGAGGCTGCTTAGCAGTACCTCAGAACTGTCACCACTTTCAGACTGACAAGCAGTGTTTGGAAAACAGCTCAACCAACCAGCCAGTGAACAGGAGTAACAAGGTGGGAAGGAGGGATAAGGATGTAGTAAAAGAAACACAAGTGCTAGCTTAATGCTTACTCAAGGTACAAAGTACATGGGTAGGGAGGAATGGCAACCAGCAGGGCTTTACAGGGAAACTTCCTTTCTACCTTGGTATTCCCAGATACCCACGAAGAGTGAGCTCTTCATTCTCCAAGCTCACATTTCCATTTTTGTAAATGCTCTTCTCTGAGCATAGCAACAATGACTCCTTCCTCCTTCCCTCCAGGAACTCTATCTTCTATCTGCCCCTCTCCCACACACCCAGATTCCTAGTCACTCTCTGAAAAAAACTGTCTCACCTAAAAGGCCAGGATTATTCACCACTGTGGAGTTTTTGATGCCTGAAAAGGACTGAACTATGTCTGAAAAATTTTCCACATTCAATGCATTCATAAGGCTTCTCACCAGTGTGAATTCTGTAATGTTCACTAAGGTGTGCATACTTGCGGAAAGTTTTCTCACATTCACTACATTTATAGAGCTTCTCACCAGTGTGTGTTCTATGATGTTCAGTGAGAGAAGAGCTATGAGCAAAAGATTTCCCACATTCCTTGCATTTAAAAGGCTTCTCTCCAGTGTGAATTCTCATATGCTGAGTGAGGCAGGTATTTTGATTAAAGCCCTTCCCACATTCAACGCATTTATAGGGTTTTTCTCCAGTGTGACTTCTCTGATGCCGAGTAAGGCAGATGCTCTGAATGAAAGCTTTACCACATTCGCTACATTTGTAGGGCCTCTCTCCAGTATGAATTCTCTGATGCTTAGTGAGTGGAGTGCTCTGAGTAAAAGCTTTGCCACATTCCTTACATTTATAGGGTTTCTCTCCAGTATGAATTCGCTGGTGTTTAATAAGGGATGGGCTCTGACAGAAGGCTTTTCCACATTCCTTACATTTATAGGGTTTCTCTCCAGTATGAATTCTCTGATGCTGAGAGAGGTTTGCCTTTGTTTGGAAGGTTTTCCCACATTCATCACATTTATGGGGTTTTTCTCCAGTGTGAATTCTTTGATGTTGCGTAAGATTTGAGTGTTTGCGGAAGGAAGCGCCACATTCATTGCATAAATAAGGCTTCTCACCAGTGTGAATTCTCTGATGATGAATAAGGTGTGTGTTCTGATTGAATGCCTTCCCACATCTGTTACATTTATAAGGTTTCTCTCTAGTATGGATTTTCTGATGTTCACTGAGATGTGAATGATTGCGGAAGGAATTCCCACATTCATCACATTTATAAGGTTTCTCTCCAGTGTGGACTCTCTGATGTTGAGTAAGAAACGACCGACATCGAAATGCTTTCCCACACAGCTCACACCCGTATGGTTTCAATCCAGTGTGAATCCGCTGATGCTGAACAAGGAATAAGCTACGACTAAAGGCTTTCCCACATTCCTCACATGTGTAGGGTCGCTCTCCAGTGTGAGTTCTCTTATGTTGGGTAAGGGATGAGCTCTGAGTAAAGCTCTTTCCACATTCATTACATTTCCAAGATTTTTTCTGAGTGGACAGGATTGGGCATTTCCTTTGTGCTGAAATCTCATTTTTGTGTATGTTAGCTGTCTCCCACTGATGTAGGCTTTCTTCTGTGGAAACCCTAAGATGTGTAACAAGGCTTGAGGTCAAAAGCAAGCTTTTTTCAAAGTGATATTCTTGGCTAATCATTGCAGGATTTGCTTTCTTGTGTTTGAAGGTTATTCCCCCAAAGTCTCCTTGGAAAAGGCATGGCCCAGGAAGCTCTCTGGAAGAGTTTTCCTTCATGCCCTCACACACATATTTTTCCACAAATATAGAATCCTGGTGTTCATCCTCTTGAAATCTCTCTGCTACTACACCTGAAGAAGCAATTTCAGGGACATCTTCCTCTGGAACAGGCCTGTTCTCTCGACCTGAAAGAAACCATCAGAGTAAATGCTGCCTGTGCAGGGCCAAGTAGAGACCTCTTTAGTTGTGTGGACTTAACTTTGACAGGTCTCAATAATGGCATGTGAGCAATGGCAAGTAAAAAGCAAACAAGGCAAGTAATTCAGTGTAGCAAGCAGCAGAAAAGATCTTCATCTTGGTCAGGTAATCATCATCAGTGAGGAAGACTCACAGAAAAGGGCAGGTAGTCAGGGAGCAAGAGACTCACAGGCAATGGAGAAAAAGGGGAAACAACACACAAAAGTAGACTAGGATTAGGGAAAGAAAGGAAACATGGACTGTCTGTATTCAGATGGTGGATAGTCAGAGAATGAAAAAGGGCAAATGAAAATAAGAGAAATAACATGGGTACTAGGAGAAAGCTGGCATCAAAACACATTTACGCCCACCTGTCTTCAACGTCTCTAAAAGAGAGGGTAATTTTTATCTCCTTATATGCCCTCAGAATTTCTCTTCTAAAATTTTCAAAATCTTCCTACTGCTGGGCTGTTTCTTCCACTGGTTGTCTCTTGCTCACTTACCTGGGCTAGTCTCTCTTTCGTTCTCTCTCTCTTCAGCAACTTGCATATTCAACATCCATAAATTTTCTCTTTGCTTTGATTGCAAAACACCTTAGGTCTGGAAAACTGGTGGCCCTGCCCACAGAGAAAAACAAAAAGGGAGGGAATATAATTGTTCTAGTAAAAAAAAAAAAAAAAAGTTAAAATTGTCTAGGTATGCTACCTACATTTATAAGGTTTCTCTCCAGTGTGAATTCTGATCTTCAGTGAGATGTGAATGATTGTGGAAGGAACTGCCACATTCATTACATTTAAAAGGTTTTTCTCCAGTGTGGATTCTCTGAAGCTGAGTAAGAAATGATCAACATCGAAATGGTTTCACTCCAGTGTGAATCCACTGTTGCTGAACAAGGATGAGCTATAACTAAAGGCTTTCCCACATTCTTCATATGTATAGGGTCTCTCTTCAGTATGAGTTCTCCAGTATCAGTTGGGTAGGGGATGAGCAACATGTGAGGCAAACTAAGTGCCTCAGCATGAAGTAGGGTTGGCCTGCCATTTTCTAGATAAACAAACTCCACTGTCAGCTGTCCAAGAACTGACAGATTCAGGCAGACTAACATACTATCAAATTTTCAAAGGCTTGATGAATGAATCAGAATTCCATTTATTACCTTATAAAGATAATTATGAAATAAAAACCAAAAACTAAACTCACTGCCATTGAGTCGATCCCAACTCATAGTGACCCCTCCTTGGGTTTCCAAGGTGGTATCTCTATGGAAGTAGATTGCCCAGTCTTCCTTCCTAGGAGTGGTTGGTGGATTTGCACTGCCAGCCTTCTGGTTAGCAGTCAAATACCTTAGAATTACGAAATAGATAGGACAGCCACTCCTCGGAAGGAAGGTTGGGCAATCCTACTTCCGTAGTGATACTGCCTCGGAAACCCAAGGAGGGGTCGCTATGAGTCGGGGCCGACTCGACGGCACATAACAACAACAACAACAACTCCTATCAATTAGTACACTCTGTCTACCACACTTTTTTATGAAAAGTCAATTAATATAATCAAAATATGTATGCAGAAATGGCCTTATAATCAGGATAATATATCAAGTCTGATCTACCCATGTCCACCATATGCCAAGGGGCCTGGATAGGGTTAAGGGAGCCCTCTAAATTTGCTAAAAACCAGAGATACACTGATTGCCTTTACCTCTAAATATTAATTAAACAGTTTTTCTTCAGGCACAGCTCAACTAAGAGTGTAGGCTAAAGTTTTTTTTTAATCTTTAATTTTCAAATAATTTTTGGCTTAACAAAAAGGTTGCAAAAAATAGTACAGAGAATTTCTGCAAACCATGTCTCTCTATATAAGCCTGACGTGAGAATTGGTAACATTAATTCAAGGAAGAAGGAATGAAGAGTCAAAGGTTCTGAAGTCATGGAAGCATAAAATGAGACAGCTAAAATACATAACGAGGCTGGTCTTATAGTACCAAAACGCAAACGCAACCACTGCCGTGGAGTCGAATCTGACTCCTAGCAACCCCTCCTTGGTTTCTGAGGCAGTATCACTACGGAAGTAGATTGCCCAACCTTCCTTCCGGGGAGTGGCTGATGGGTTTGAACCGCTAGCCTTCTGGTTAGCAGTCAAATGCTAAGGCACTACACCACCACAGCTCCTGGTCCTATAGTATTCTTATTAAAGTCTGTGCACCTCTCCATCTGATTGTGAAGATCTAAATGGGCTCAATCAATCTGGGTTTTCCTGATGCTCTTCAACAGCAGGGCATAAAATGGATTTACCAACTACCACACAACCTTACAGAGATTCATGCAGTAGAGTGAGGTTTGGGTGTAACAATGCTAGACATTGAAGAACAAGCAGGACATGCCCCCACATGCCTGGAGTTTACATCATAGCCAGACAAAGACATGAAACCAGTACAGGTGTGAGAGCGTGAGATGATGTTTCTATATAACCACCCTGTATGCAACCATTTTTAGTAAGTAGCCATTTGTGCAAAAGGCCTTAGCACGTTCTTCACGCTTTAGTGCTTTAGTTACTAGAAAAACCACAAAGAGTCCTAACTACCCCCACTTCATCGATACTCTCAAACATACTCCTTAGCAACAACCAATCAGTAAATAGCAAGGAAATACCTTACATAAAATAGTTAGAAATGGCAGTTAGTGGCTTCAGCCCACAAGACAGAGCCAATCAAGTAGGAACAACTAGCAACTTGAAAATGTCAACCAATCCTGTAATTTTCTGATTTAAACTTCCTCAGTTCTGCTGAGACCCCTATAAAAACCCTGTTACCCCTGAGTTCGGGGTTCTCAATCCTGAACCGCTGCATCGGTGACAGTTGGGGGTCCGAGCTCGAGCTTAAATAAACAACCCCTATGCTTTTGCAGTGGAATCGGCTCCTTGGTGGTTTTTAGGGATTCAAGATCTGGGCACAACACAGGTATGTATTCCTTAACATCTGTTTGGGCGACATCCTACCACATATACATCTGTGGGCTGAGGACCCCATGTATCTGAGTGCCAGGACAACAGACTTTCATCTTGAGGTCAGAGCTCCACTTCTGCCTGGCTGCTGCATGGCAAGGAAGCCACCTCATCTGCAGTGATGGATGCCCAGGCCCAAACTCACAACCCTAGTTTCCTCTCAGCTCCCGTGACTTGGAAGGTCTAGTTTCCACATCATTTTGCCCAGTATAGTGACATGGGATACTGATGGCAAGGTATGCACCTGGGCACCCACCTGTGACTCAGGCATCCTCATCATCCTTGTCTCACCCTGTCCCCTCCCTGGTCTCACTGGTGAGCTGGCTTTCCCTGCAGCTAGCTTAGCAGAGGTGGGAAGAGCCAGGTGGGACCCACCTGCGTGCTCACCTAAGATGTCCCCAACGAGAGTTGCCCAGGTTGTGCGTTACACAGCAACTCTTGGGCCAGTGTGCCCATGAACCCCGATATCCTGTGGACACAGCTGTTCACACTATGTCCAAATCACATAATGTCCTATTTCACAGAACATATCATGGATATCATGTGACACATACCTGTTATTACAACTATGAGAGTTACAAAAGTAAAAGTATGAGGTGCTTTAGAATGCAGAGCAGAGGGGAGCAAATCTAGTCTGAGAAATCAAGCCTCTCTGAAGAAGAGTTAATATGCATTAGTGAGGAGGGAATAGAATATACCACAGAGATAGGAAACAATATACAAAAGCAATCAAACTTAGCACTTTGGAAGAATGCGAGAAATCCAGTAAGGGCCAAAGTAAGAGATATGAAGCTCAAAGTAAGCAAAGACCAGATAATACAGAATCCTGCATCCCAGTTTGTTTTTTTTTTTTTTTTTTGAAGCTGCAAAGCGGATGTCTTTTTTTTTTTAAAGGCATTTTATTGAAATATAACTTATGTACAGTGAAATACACAAAACTAAAGTGACATGGGTCAATGCATTTTTTTTTTCAGTGTTCCCTCCCCTCCCTTCCCACCCCTGGCAACCAACACAAAAAGTTTCCCTCCATATATAAACCTTTCCTTGGCCCTCCACAACAACAAACTAATACTATATTTGTCCTTCTGTGACTGACTTATTTCACTCAGCATAATGTCCTCCAAGTTCATCCTTATTATGTGGTATTTTGCAGACTCTACGTTATTCTTTAGTGCCAGATAGCATTTCAGTATGTGTATGTACCATAGTTTGGTCATCCACTCTTCTGCTGATGGGCACGTAGGTTGTTTCCATCTTTTTGCTATTGTAAATAGTGCTGTGATGAATATGGGTGTGCATGTATCTGTTCCCATCCTGGCTCTCACCTCTCTAGGATATATACCTAGTAATGGGATCTGCAACCCATTTTTTAGGGTTTTACACCTTAAAAGCAGCAGAAAGCCATAGAAAGGATGTAAAAAAGTTTGAAAAGGGAAGTTTTAAGAAAAACACACATCCCTCTGCCTATAGTCCAGACAATGGATTGCATGTAATGGGTTGAGGGTGGAGAAGGCAAGATGAACAGTGGAAGACCTTTTGGCAGGTGTTTCACTAGTTCAATAAGGGGACTGCACTAACTAAGAGACAGAATCAACAGGCCTAGCTGGATACTGAGGGGAGGTGCAAGAGGGAGGAGTCAAGGATAATTCACCAGTTTTGGGCTTGAACAACTTGTTAACAGTACCCTTTAGTGAATGTGGGAACACTGGTTTGGAGAGGAAGAAAATATATTTAGTTTGAAAGATCCAAGTTGAGAGTAGTTGTAGTACTGTGAAAAATATGACCTTTCTAGCCATATATTTTGCGACTCCCACCAGATGACTGGGTGGGACTATGCAAATGTGAGGTGCTGTGGCCCACGAAGGACACTGGATAGTTTGCTAATAATGCAAAGGTGCATGGCACCCTTGTGGGGATGAGACCATGTGAATAAGTTGTAGGAAACCCTAACATGGGGATTGATCAGTTTTGCCATAACACAAGGCTTAAATGAACCATCCTAGAAGTGGAAAAGGGGTGGGGGGAATCTTGCTACCATCAAGAAAGAAGAGCCAGAAGTGGAACACATCCTTTGGACCTGAGATCTTTGCAGTGAACTATCTCGATCCAGAAGACAGACAGCTGTGACACCAGAAATGGTGAGGAGTGGCAAGAAGTAGCAACAGAGAAATGGTGGCAGCAGAACCAAGAGACTAGCACAAGAAAGAGAGGTAGGCTCACTGACCCAGAGAGAGAGAAAGCTGAGAGCCTTAGGGCAGGAGGCTTACTAGCAGAGTTGGGTGCCTCTGAGAACTTAGCAGAACTAAAAGAGCTTTTTAACATTTGCCCAAGGAAGGCAGAGGCCACCAGGCTGAGGAGCCTAAGGGCCAAGGGGCCAAGAGGCCAAAGGCCAGAGAGAGGTGTGCCTGAGGGCATTGTTGAAAAGAAGCTGTCCTAATTGAAGTACTGTACCTGAGTAGTTCCTGATCCTGAATTGGAACATGTTACTTCTCTAATAAATCCTGTAATTGTGAGTATGGTCTGTGAGTTCTGTGTAGTCACTGAAATGAATTCTCAAA